ATTTTCGGAATCGGACTCAGCAGAGGGAGTTGTCGGAGGCGTCTGGCGGCGTCCGGAAGGCCCTGAAACGACCAAAAAACACCGGGGACATTTTTTGGGGGTGGCTTAGGACCCGAAAAATGTCCTAGGGCCCCCCCCAAAAAAATTCGAATTTTTCAAAATTGGGCCCAATCCAGACCTACCGGACCAGACACCGGACCCATACCCAGACAACCGGACCGTCTGGATTCCGGTCCAGACGTCGGGCCGGTTGCCATTATGATTTAGATAGACAACTGCAAATATATCTAGATAGACAACTACAAAAGTCGTTCATGCAACGTTTGAAGGTATCAGGGGCAGTCCAAACGGCATGCCCATAAACTCATTGTCGCCATATCGCGTCCTAAATGTCATCTTATGCTGATCCAAAATATCATCTTATGCTGATCTTCGGGCTGTACCTCTATCTAATGGTACCCCGATTTCAAATCTATCTTTGGAAAATACTTGCAACCCTGCACCCTATCCAGCAGATCATCTATCCTTGGGAAAGGCTCAACCGTCTCAACGTTCTTCATAGTGATCGGATTGAGTCCTCTATGGTCTATACACATGGGTAAGTCGCCTTCTTTCTTTGGTACAAATAGGACCGACGTGCCATACGACGACGAGCTTGGCTTAATCCACCCTTTCTCTTTGAGTTCTTTAAGCTGCTTGCGCAGCTCATTGAGTTCTTTGGGAGACATCCGATAGATGGGACCCTTAGGAGTCTTACTACTGGGTTCTATTTCAATCCGGTGTTTGATTTCCCTCTCCACTACACCAATTGGGGCCTCTCCCACATCAGCAAACTCGTCTAACAACTTCTGTACTTCGGGTGGTGTTGTCTCCTCCTCTTTCTTGGCTTCACTAACCAGCCTAGCATACGCAACGAATACTTGGTAAACTAACTCGTTTCTTACCATGTGCCTGGCAAATGCAGAGACACTCATACAACAAAGGGACACACTGTTCTCTACGCCAGACCCATGAAACCACCACTTTTTTTTTTTCCCCACCTGTGGGAGTGGGCAACCAACACTCATGCTCGTCCATCTTGATGTCCGTGTATGCAGCGTTACCCCAATCTGTCCCCAGAATTAAGTCGAAAGCAAAAATTAATCTACCTTCATCCCTGTCTCTATGCAGAAGTATGCCTTTACCCCCTCAACATACTCACTCACGATCATCTCATGGTTATCGGCCAGTTTACTAACTACTGGCTCGTCATGCCGAGGTGCATCTTCTACAACCCTTTTCGGCTGATGTAACTACGCGTTGACCCACTGTCTATTAACGCGCCTATTGTCTCTCTATTTATCTCTACATCGCCTATTATTAGCTGCCCCTTCAACCTCTTCTTCATTTTAGCCCAAGCCCCGTAGCCTTTAAAATTTAAATTCAGCCCCATATCGCATCACGGCCTGTGCCATCAGACAGTGACACTCAAGAGGCCGAATTACATGCGCTGTTGAAAGGTGCTTGCCCGAACTTATGGCTCTTCGAGATACTGCATTTTAAAGCAGAACATTATGGGTTCAGGTTTCAGCTCGTGCAGGCGGAGAGCTTCCCGTTTGTTTGTTTTTTCTATTTATGGTGGTTCATCAGTACGAAAGTATATTGCCTGGTGAGCGGTCCAGATGCATGTAGTGGAGCGAGGTCCATTCTTCGGCTTGCACCTCTGACAGCTACTCCGTTTTCACGAGCGGAAGCCTAAACCCATAACCTTTTCCCCAGAACGCATGGATGTCTGAGAAGCATATAAACGCAGCAAAGCCTGTGCTAAAGCCTGATGTTTCCAACCTCCTGTCTCTCAGTGGACGAGGATGAACTCCTGTCCATTACAGCAGGGCCGTGGTCTATCAGACCGCGCAATGCCAATGTGGAATGGTTGCACTTCCACTTCTTGAAAATGTGGCCGATTTTGGCCGCTGGTCTGCAGATCAGAGGCTAAAATCGGCTCCGTTTTCAAATTGATAAACCGGGGCTTATTGGACCCCGTGCCTTGAAGTAAACATGTGGAAGTGGGGTCCAAAAGGCCCTCTTATTTTCTTTTAAGGAGGCAGAAGCCTCCCAGGGGCTCGGCAATTGCAGGGACGCCCGTGGATCCCCCATACCCCCCCCGGCGTGATGCGCTGGGCTCGACCGGGGGCCTGTCGGGCCAGTCGACCGTCCGGTCCTGCCGGTTGGGGGAGGGGCCCCTGGTCCAACCGGGAACCAGCCCTGTTCAAAAATAGTTTTTCAAAAATACTTGTAAAGTTTTTGAATCAGGTCCAGTTTTGCTAACATTTGCAAATGCAAAACAGCCTCTGCCACATACTCGCGCGTACGACTTCCCGGAAAATAGTTCTTCTTGTGCGCAGCAACCCAGACCCTCGGTGTATTGCAAATAATATGTTTCTCATTTTTTTTGTGCTGCATCTGTTTCGTTGCTTGACCGGAAAAACATATTTCTGCTGAATTTTTTATAATGTTGGCCAATGCATGTCTTGTGTGAGAGCCTCAAAAACTCATTTTTAAAAACTACTTGTAAAGTTTTTGAATCGAGGCCAGCTTTACTGAAATGTCTACTTTTCACGAAGTGCTTTTTATGGCTCCTCTTTAACGAAATGCATCAATCGATAAATAATCCAAACTGGCACATTATTGAAAAAAACAAAAGCAGCAGCTCATCACCTGACTGTGTTATATCCCGTGGACATATGTCCGAAGCTTTCGCCAGGACCTAGCTCTTTAGTTTTCTCGCCATAGAGAGTTGTTGCAGGGATGCCAGTTGGCAAAAAGGAGGAGAACTGGTTGATTGCCGCCAATGATGACTTTGCCATGGCTGCACCTCTCTGATGCACTGCCACGTGGCCTGCATGGATGATGTAGAAAGCTCCGCCTTCATCGCCCTGCCTCATAACTTCCGTGAATTCAACCCGAGAGAAAAAGCAGATGAAGAGGGCAAAAGAGACATCGACGTGATCAGTAGACCAGGCCACGAAAAGAGGAAGTCTCGGAAAGTGATAAATGCACACACACACACACACACACACACAGAGAGAGAGAGAGAGAGAGAGAGAGAGAGAGAGAGAGAGAGAGAGAGAGAGAGAGAGAGAGAGAGA